GAATGGCGTCTTCACATGGAATATCGGGGAAACCAGCACCATACCCATCACCTACAAGTTGGTTGAAACGGATCTTGATTCATACGCCTTCTTCTGTGGTTACGGGGGCATTTCAGATGTGTCGCTCTTCAAGGTGTGGACACGCAATCGCCATTTGACCGTGGAACAGAAGATTTTCATCCAGAACAAGTTCAAGGAGATATTACGAATTCAAGACCTCAACTGGGTGGAACAATCAGAGGAAAAGTGCAATAACTCCGCCATGCGTACAGCCGGAGGAGCTCTTCTGGCATTGGCTCTAGCGCTGATTGTAGGTGTTAGAAATATTTAAGATGTGATTTATTAATATTAATAATATTAATATAAATTATTAATAATATTAATATAAATAATAATATTATTATTAATAATAATTATTAATATTCAAGCATTTCCATAGCTTTGCAAGTGAGCTGATTTATAAATGTGCAAATTTAAGAACTCGGTAGAATTATGAATTTCATATTTCCTTCTACAGTATTTTGAAATATTAAAAATATTTATTTAAGTTTTACGGATATATATGTATGTTGTGTTCAATTTTGGTTAAATATATACAATAAACAAGTAAAAAAGTTCCAGTCGGGGAGCCCGACTAGGAGATACCCTGATCCCAGTCAAATCTGCGTTTTTTAATATTTTATGCAAATTGTATCGAGCATTAAAAAAACAAATAAAAATCGACATTACGACACAAATTTCTACACAATGCGCATCAGCTCTACTAATACTGCCATCATAATTAAAAATAAAAAATGGTAAGAAATGCCCCTTCCGCCGCCGTGCTCGAACCCAAGGATTAACCTCTCACGATCGCCGCCTCTACCAACGCCGCTACTAACCTGCTGTAAAAAAGAGTTACAAATTTTAACTTAAGTAGCAGCTGATGACTCAAGCACAATTTAATCGCAATTTCGATTCTTGGAATATAAAAGAATACACGCATTTGAATGTATGTGTGCACACGCATAGGAAAAAAGCGTGCGCGTGGCGATGCTGACATGTGCTTTTGCAAATTGGCCAAACGTTTTGTTTAATAACTTCTGTTTTACTTAATGGATTTTAATGAAATTTTCAGCATATGATCTACATATTCTATTGGCATGGTTGAGATGCAAACGCCTTCACATAATGGCCCTTTTTCTAACTGATCTTCAATTTTAAGAATTTGGGGAATTTTGGAGCAGGTATCCAAAATCCAACAAAAATCAAAATTGCATAAAATATACACAAAACTAAATAAAAAATTTAGAGTCTCTAGTTCTTAAGAGGTACGAAATATAATTTATTAACTTTATTTCGATCATGCTTTTATTCGATAACAATTCAATGATATGCGCGTGCTATGCACGGACCTACAAAGAATGAGATCGATGCGTTCATACATACGGACAGACGGACGGACAGACAGACGGATGGACGGCGCTCAATCGACTCGGCCTGTCGTCCTGATCAAAAATATATATACTTTTGGGGTCTGCCACGCCTCCTGCCTGTTATATGCATTTGCACAAAACGACGAGGTGAATTAGTCGTGTCCTATATATATATATATATATATATATATATATATATATATATATATATATATATATATATATATATATATATATCACAAAACATATATATATATATATACATGTGAAAAGATATTTAACGGGTAGAAGGAGACGTGGCAGATGCCATAAAGGGTGTATATTCAAATTCAGGATGACGAGTTAAGTCGATCAAGTCATGGCCGTCTGTCCGTTCATCAGTCCACACGTCTGTCCGTCATGTGAGTGCAACGATCTGTCAAACCACGAAACTTATTTTAAATATCCACACGTATCGCACTGTTTCAAAGATATTTTTTATTCGAAATATTCTTCATTTAAGTCAATGGATATTTCATGTCATCTCAAGGAATGTTCTTTAACATTTGTATCAAGAAGGCTCGAATATCATCGTAAAATGCTCCTTTCATGGCAGTTTAGGAAACAGAAAATAGTCGCATGGTGATAGATCAGGAGAATATGGAGGGTGTTCAGGTATAACGCGAACAATTCTTGACCACAAACGATGTTAAACTTGTAAATAGTAGACTCTATGAACAGTATCCCTTGGAATCGTACAACGTGATCAACATTGTCTGGATTCTGAACTTCTGGAAAAGCAATTTTTCTCAAATCTTCTCGACCATTTTTAAATTGAACGAGCTAAACAATCATCACTAAATGTTTTTCCAAATTTAAAACAAAATTTAATATTTGTAATTCTTAAACCTGTCAGCCGATTTACATGAAGAAGATCTGTACCTTTCTAATTCTATCAACACTTAATAGATTGCGTTACGAGCTCCATGATTTTAATAAAATGCCACTTTGTCTATTGAACATACATACGTAGTATGAGACGAGTATTTTTCCTCGATAACTCATCCTATTTGTTTATTATCGTGAAAAAAATCGATCATTTCGCTTAATTTCAAGCGTATGACACTCTAAAAAATTGATGAAGAAAGTCTAAAACAAAAGTTATTCAACAATAAGTTCTAATAGTGCAGACTATCTGCAGCCATGTGCTGAAGCAGAGCGCATGTGTATATGTGTGTTTGGAATATATGTATAAAATAATAAGAGAGTCTAGATGTAGAAATAATGATAGAATATCACCGCTCTGCAGGTTGAAGGTACCTCCAAGTCGGGAACCCCCGATTAGAGCTTTCTTATCTGATTCTGAACAGGCACGTGGAATCGTGAGCTCAACAATTTAATGCTAGTTGGCTAATGAAAGAGTTTATTGGTTCGATGACAAAAAATAAATGTGTACGGACCCTAAGGGCGTGGTAAGTCTTATCAGACCTTGTAGTGATTTTTACAACTACTCAGTTTCTTCATTATGACTTCATTAAAGCTCTTTCTATTTATTTTCTTTGTTTCTTCAAATAGCAATTGATCAATTGATTTTTAATCGCTCTTGGAAGCTAAGGCTTCTGATAACTAATTTCCTGAAAGTTAAGCTCTCTTTTTCAATTTTTTTATTCAAATGTTAATCGCCCCCTCGACTTACTTACTCATTAGCGTTAATTTCTGTAAACAGGTTTTCCGACTGCAATTTGTTAATATCACATCTGTAGGATGCCTATGATGCTTAGATTGCTAATAGGAAAATCTTCTAGTACTTTCCAGCTCTTGATTGCGTCGATCTCCTTCGCGCCTTGCCGCTACTGGGTATCCATACTAGATTTTCAAGCCATTCTCTATTCGTATGGATTCCTCGAGATAATCGTTTTGTCGATAACTTATTCCGCAACCATCGTGGATTAGGTTGAAAGATGTTCACAATTTTGTTGGAACTTGCAATCTTGGCGTGGTATATGGTTTGTTATCTCCTGCATGCATGATAAAGCTAATTAGTTTTCATACCCTGATCCCATTGAAAATGGGAAATCAGGATACAATGGTTTTGTGATAATGTATTTAACAGACAGAGGGAGTCGTGGCGGATCCCATAAAGTATATATATTCTCGATCAGGACGACAAGCCAGGACAATTGAACACTGTTCGTAGGTCTGTCTGGGTTCGATTGTAGGCAGTGAAGAGACTTTTTAATGTTTTTTTTTTTCTAAATATAAAGTGGCGGGGTTAGTAGCGCTGATGCGCATTGCATAGGCAATGTGTCGTAATGTCGGCATTTATTGGTTTTTTATTACTCGATACAAACTATTGAAAATATTAAAAAAAGCAGATTGTACTGGGATCAGGGTATCCCCTGGTCGGGCACCCCGACTAGAGGTTTCTTACTTATTTTGAATAATTTTATGATTCTGATTGATTATTAAACGGTCGCGATAACAATAACAAACAGGTAATGATAACGACATTGATAATTGTTATTATTAATACAACAAAATAATCGGACAAAAATAATTAGAATAATAGCACATTTGTTATGTAATTAGACGACCCTTCACCAAATCTATTTCGACTCGAGCTATGAGTCAGTCGGGTAGGTCTTTATCATAGAGAGGTATTGCCACTTAAGTAGCTTGTCGTAAAAGTTAGTGAAATTCTGAGGAATTATTGGACAAGTGAGCACTGGGGAAAAACCTTACAATCATGAATCGATTGCAAATTGATTGACGAGGTGTGCCCCCAATGGGAATAGTAAAAATGTTTTTAATTCGTTAACGGTTCCAAACAGCTAAAAGTCTTATTGGTCTCTCAAGCAAACTGACAATTTTAGCTCGAAAACTCAGGAAGTCGTTTTTTCAATCTCATGAGGGATCCGCGATTATTTAACTATCAAATTTTGGAGCTCTAGCTCGTAATAAATGGCTTTTTCCAATTCGCATCGCTGCTACCTAATGTGTAAATTGCAAATATCAATTTTGTAGAATGGACGGATGGACGAACAGCAAATCGAATTGTGCATAAAACCAATATACTCCTTTCACATCGTTCACTTTTAAAATATTATAAATTTCACTTTCTATTTGCATCGATTCTGCATTAGACATTTCTTCGAATTTCAAAACTTACCACAAATATCTAATCTGTCTACCCAATCAGACATGAACCTACAATCTTAAGTACTTGTATCGTGCAAAATGTATGTGATAAGCACCATTGATTTACAGTTGCATTACCCATGTATCTGTCAATATCATTTTGATAAGTGTAATGTTTTTGTTAATCTTAAATAATGGAAGCTAAAACCAGTAAAATATGTAATAAGAACTGAAATATTTTTATTTAAATTTTTATATTTTAGACAGAATTTTTAGTTTAACTGATTTTATATAAAGAAGTTCATATATTACATAAAATTATATTCACAACATCATCAACTATCTATTTGATATAATTTGCTTTATATTTCAAGTTAATGCTATCTTATAACTGGTTATCTGGTTAAGCGATAACAGAGTGAATATATTGGCTATATATGCCGTTTGTCTTAGTAGCGTGGGTCAGTTGCAATCCAAATTCGGAATAGAGTGGAGCCCTCTCAGTTAAAATGAAAAGCAATATTTGTATGGTACTGATCCTGCTAGGCTGTGCACTGAATACCGTTCGGTCACAAACAACGGAGGTCCCAGAAACAACAGAGATTGGAGAAACAACGGAGGTCTCAGAAACAACAGAGATTCCAGACCCTACTAGTTTTCCACTTTTTACGTGCACTAGATATGCGGGAACTGAAGTCGACCTGAAAGGCGTAAGTTAACGCACAATACTTGTAGCTGTGCCCATTTAAGACTCTTCCCGTACACAGCTTTCCGGTCTGTGGTTTGAGACGGCACGTGGTATTAACATCGATAAGATGGAATGCCTGAACTACACACTGGCCGACAGCCCCAACGATAAGAATAGGCTGGAGTTGCAAGTACAGTATGTGTATGCCGGCGACAGCAAGTGGGACAGCGTCAAGGAATCCAAATCGTTGCTCTGGGATGATAATGCTAAGAATGGCGTCTTCACATGGAATATCGGGGAAACCAGCACCATACCCATCACCTACAAGTTGGTTGAAACGGATCTTGATTCATACGCCTTCTTCTGTGGTTACGGGGGCATTTCAGATGTGTCGCTCTTCAAGGTGTGGACACGCAATCGCCATTTGACCGTCGAACAGAAGATTTTCATCCAGAACAAGTTCAAGGAGATATTACGAATTCAAGACCTCAACTGGGTGGAACAATCAGAGGAAAAGTGCAATAACTCCGCCATGCGTACAGCCGGAGGAGCTCTTCTGGCATTGGCTCTAGCGCTGATTGCAGGTGTTAGAAATATTTAAGATGTGATTTATTAATATTAATAATATTAATAATAATTATTAATAATATTAATATAAATAATAATATTATTATTAATAATAATTATTAATATTCAAGCATTTCCATAGCTTTGCAAGTGAGCTGATTTATAAATGTGAAAATTTAAGAACTTTAAGACAGAATTATGAATTTCATACAGTATTTTGTTCGTTAAATAATATATGTTAGTGTCACAATGCGATTTGTTTTGCTATATTAGAAAGTTGTCATTTGAAACGGATAATTATAAGCTTCCATATCATTTGATATATTTATGATGATGGCCGATTGAAAGAGTGATGACACATCATCATAAAGAAGTCAAAAAAGAATTCAGGTTGGCTAAAAAGGTAGAATATAAAGAAAGTTAAATAGGTAAAAATGTTGATGGCGGGCGCGACTGATCGTAGGAGGAGATCATACCTTGTCCGCCTGAGTAACTGTCCGTCCGTATGAATGCAGCGCTGTCGTAAGCCACATAAGCTAGATATTTGAAACTTGAAATGTATATGTCTATACGCAATACGCAATGGGAGCTTATCAATTGTTTTTCCCTAACTCATCCCATTTCTTTATTATCGATACAAATCGATAACTTGGCTTCGTCTCTTAAGCATAGCTTGAAGACTTCAGCTTTACGAATACATATATTTTGTATATTGTAGAGTTATCCCTAGAGACTCTTGCTTTGGCAAATACATACACGGGAATGTACATGCTAGGTTCAGACTATGAGGTAAATTAGGCATCGCATTTCGGGGTGTGTTCAGGGTATCTTCTAGTCGGTCAGCACCACTGTTTATGTAGAAAAATGTTTTTATATTTGATCATATATAAGTGCTTTTTTGGTGTCTTATCGATCCAACTGGATTCGTGTACCAAACGGGCTTACAAATGTCAAATTTTATTGTTGCTTTCGGCAGTTGGAACTGACGTAATACGACGATGACGAGGACTATGACGCTGACCAACTAAATTTGGGATGCCACAGGTGGTAGGCGCCAACATGGTTGCATAGGTTGTCTGTCTGCGTGGTTGTGTATCTGTGTGAGTCCTTATGTCTATGCGCTTGTGTGTGTGAGACTTGCCGCCATAAACAAATTGACGTCCAAGCTCTGGGCCGCTCATCATTCTTAGCGTCGCTTGGAGTGGGAGTGCAGAGGAAGTGTTATCTGCTCGCACTCAGTTGCCAGTTGGCTGTTAGCTGTTGGCAGTGTCCCACACTGCCAGCTTATTATCAAAAGTCAGTCAATACCGCGACGCAGACACCCACACACGAAGAGTCGGAGAAAACAGCTTCATTTTGACCTGCTGCCCTAATAGGCGTTCGCGCACACGAGTGGGTGGCTCAGCTTTTGGGGTGGCTTTTTGGGCTGGAGTTTCGCTTGCTGTGTGCTGCTGCTGAATTGGCGCTGAGCAAACAACTTCTTTATCGCCACGATACACGCCACAGTCAGATAATTGCGCCAGCAAGAGGTCGCCTTGCTGAGTGAGCCTGGCATCAGGAACAGCAAGGGGAAAAGGAATAGCAAGGGCTGAGTGTCATACATTGTTATTTAAAATAAAAATTAATAATTCAATTATGCATCACCATTTGCAGTACTGACCATGTGGTCTATCTCAGTCACTATCTTCCTCCCTCACTCACTCTCTCTCTCTCTTATGCCTTATGAATCGGTCTGGTCACAGCTGTAGGTTTGTTTGTATGCCAGCCAAATTGCCGTGATTTCATTCAATTTGTCGCAGCAGCGGCAGCAACAAATGTTGCCACTTGCTGCCCAAATTGTTTTCGTTTGGGAGAGATTGACGCCCACCCCCGCGCAGCTTGTGCAAAATGCGCAAATAAAAAAGCAAAAAGAAGAAACAGGAGAAACAGAAAAGTATTCTGTCCAACACCCACTGGGGCACGTCTCCTGCCCCGCCCACATAAGCCCAGACACCCACAGGGCCACACGCCAACACGCCCACATGCCCACACGCCCAATCCGGCCACATCGGCAACGTCGGCAACGTCAGCTGCCGCACTGTGTGCCAATGCCCAATTGTTGTTTGTATGAGAAAATCTCGCCTAATGGCGTTTTACATTATTTGCCGCCTGATGCCGACGTCGACGACGCTGCTACAGCCAACTGCTACCAAGTGGCAATGCTGGAGCTGTAGCTGTAGCTGTTTCTGGAGACACAAGCGGAGACGGAGACGGAGACGTAGTCAATGTAGACGCAGACGGAATCGCAGAGCCTTATAGCCGCTGTAGCAGCCAGTTGTAGCAGCCGTTGGCAGTTACGTACCACGTCGATTTGTGCCGCCAAACCTTGTGGTTAGGGTGCTTCGGTTGGCGCTTGTGGCAAGTTCTGTGCAACTGGCCAAGCAGCCGTAAGATGAATGGCCACTTATTGCAATAGCTGCCTCTGCACAAGTTCCGATGGTCAACTCTGATAGCCATTGTTGTGGTATTGAAATGTAAGAGCAAATGCAGGCAAATTTAGATTGATCGACAGATAACTAGATAGTTATATAAAGTTGAGTGTGGCTGTGGGATGGAGCATCACAACTTTATAATTTAGAAGTTCATTTGGAGCTGTTTCTTCTCCTTTCAAATAGAATTTCTGCTTCTGAAGAATTATATGGATAGTATATCGGCATAGATTGCTCTTGATTGCTTACCTTTTGGGAAATACCAGTGAAGTCTATATATATTACACTATTATATAATATTAATATAAGTATATTATATTATCATATAAATATTTAATTATTATACTATATAAAAATCAATTATCTTATTCGCAGCTGACGACTAAGAAGCCAAATCTAAACAGTTAAGTAAACAGGTTCGTTTGGATTGCTTAGCTAGGAATTATTCTTAGAGGATTGTAGCAAACACAACAACACAATAGATCAATACCCTATGCCCACACCCTCTTCTGGCTTGGTCCATTCCTGATTGTAAGCGCGTTCCCATGTCGCACATAATCCAACGCAGCTGTGAAAGAAGACGAACCCAAATCCCCTATACCAAAAGCGAAATCGCCTTTAATTTGCTCGCTCATTTCGAGGCTCAGCTTGTGCGCTGCGCTACGGGCTTACCACAGGCGAAGGGGTGTGGGTGTGGTGGGGGTTGTTTGGCTCTATGGTTTATGTGTTGTGTGTGTGTGGATCTAAGCATTTGACATGGTGTGAACACGCGCATAAGGGGCCATTTCAATGGCTTTCAAATGCACGACAACTGGCATGGGGTTAGGGAACTTTTTCATCTGACTCTCGCGTGATTGTGTGTGTGTGTGTATGGGTGGGTGTGGGTGTGGGTGTGGGTGTGTGTGCACAATTGGTTGGCAATTTATTTAAATATCGGCACGCAGTTGGAAACGCAATGACAACTGGAATTTTATGCCAAGTGAAACACATTTCAGTGAAAATAAAACGAAACAACAGCAGCAGCAGCCGCAGCAGCCGCAACAACAACAACAACAACAACAGGAACAACGAGAGCTGAGAAATTTCGGCTGACGAGCAAGCTGCCAAAAAGGAATTTTTCAGCTGCCGCCGGCAATGGCAGCGCGACAACGGCGAAGAAGGGAGGCTGCGACAGCAACAGCAGCTGATGTTAATAGCCCAGCGGGGCCAAATGCCGGCTGCTGCCAGGCGAAGCGAAAGAGAAGAAGAAGTGCAGACTGCGACGATGTCTGGGCAGGCAGTTGTTGCTGTTGCTGCTGCTGTTGTTGCTGCTGCTGCTGCTGTTGTTGCTGTTGTTCCCGCGCATGGCCCTGTGATAAGCCAAATGGCATAGGGTTGGGGTTGATGTTAGCAGCTGAACAGCTGTTTCTGACGCGAACGCAACTGCGCCGACGCCTTGCAAACTGCAGGCGAACCCAGCCGAGCCAACATCACGAAGACATGAAACGAACGACCAAACCGAAACATGTGTCGGACTACCTGAGCCAGTTGAGACTCAAACGGCGCTCACAAACAAATTCAACTTTCAACTGAGCGGACGTCACGCAGTAGAAATAACAGCAACAGCAACAGCAACAGCAGCAGCCGCAGCCGCAGCACAGCAGCGTCAGCGTCAGCACCGCAGCGTTTCTCTCAGTTTTCGTCTTTTGTGAATTTATTCGGGACTCGGCATTCCATAGCCGCCATTCCCAGCGCGTTGGCTTCAGTCGTTTGACATTGGCCCGACATGCCGGTACAAGCGTCGCATCTACGTCTTCGGTCCCGTCAGCAATTGTTGTTGCTCGCGTCGCGTCGTCAACAACAGCAATAATAAAAATGGAAAACAAATAAATATCTGAAATATGTGCAAGTAAATTTATTGAGGCGGCACACGAGTTGTTCCACATTGGTTGATAGTCAATTACGCCCCGTTGCAGGCAAGGCGCGCGCGATTTTTAGTGGGTGTCAACGGCGAAAGTATCTCAAAGATACACAAACAATGCAGCAAATCGCTTGAGTGCAGCACAACAATATCCAAATAAACCAAAGCCTCGAAGCCACACTCCAGCAAAAACTAAGCAAAATACAAGAACATTCAACATTTAGCAGCCAAAATGGTAAGTCAATGAGCCACATGCAAAGTATCTGAAAGATGCCCATCTGTTTTATGTGTGCTTGTGCTCCCTGCTACCTACCCGAGCGCAACACATGTTGATTGCCCATGCCGCGATAAGGCCAGCTGTCCCAGGCAATACTCCCTCGATATATATATATATATACATATATCTGGAATCTGGGCAGCTGTGCGGACCGCTCTTTAAAAATATCTCAAATACGACGCATCTGTTTTTTATTTGCGCAAATATTTGGTCCAAAGACAAAGCTACAAAGTTGGCAATACAAATTTGCCAGCATATATCTGTCTATCTGTCTGTCTGTGCATGTGGGTGTGTGTCTATGTCAAGTGCGCCACATTTTTGCATTGCCACATAAAGAAAGTGCTCAGCAACGAATTCGATTTGTCAGCTTCACGTGCGAAATTATAAATTACGAGTATTCCCCCGGCTTTTTCCCGCTTGCTGTTACGTGGTGTGCATGTGTGTGTATGAGTGTGTGTGTGAGCATAGTGGAATTGTATAGTATAGACCAATGTGGCTGGCAATGACTTTAGCCGCCGTCTGTTTCTGAGAGCCTTGGGCTGGGCATCGGAAAATCTTAACTGCAAATAATTGCAGCTGACTTCCGTTCCAACGGCCGCCTTTTACGCTATGTCAAAGCCAGCATCAAACAACTTTTCTAAGCCACAAATTTTCCAATGAAGAATGTCAACAACAGCACAATTTAATAATCATTTGCATTTCACATAACATAACTAAAAAGTATGCGTTGCAGACCAAAGGGCAATCAATTGAATCAATCAAAATGGGCCCCTCCTTATTTCGATAATTTTGTAGACTTCTATTCGAGGCAATGTGTCGAAAAAGTCTTATAAGTTATTAATGAAATTTTTGTACAAAAAAAGAAATTATATCATAAATTATCTTCATGTCAAATGGTATATATAAACATTTTCTGCCTTATAGAGATAAGAATGAAGAACAGATTAATTTTTAAGTAGGTTTTCAATACATGTTATAGACATTAATGAAGCCTGAAACCTGAACTTTAACAAAAAAAAGATAAGTATATATATATATATATATATATATAGATAGCTAAATAAACAATCAGATAGATAAATAACCAATTTATTATAAAACTTATCTCTTTTGATTCACTATAATACTTTTCCTATAAAGTGCAAATTTAACATTAGAAACAATATAACTTGACAGAGCTCCACCGTCTTGCCTTTTCAATCAATTTAGAGGCTTTTTCTTTTAAATGTATATAATTGTTAGAGCTCTTGACTTCAAACGCAAAACAGCTTCACAATCTGAAACGTATATTAAAAAGTCAATAAATATTATATTTCGGAGCAAATAAAAGAGAGTTTATGTTTATTATTATTGACTATTTTTGTTTAACAATTTAGTTTATGCATCCGTTAAGTTGTTAAATTGAAGTTAAGTAAATAATTTAAGCTCGCACGTGCCAAAGATCTGACAGAAAAGGCGACACATTGCAGCTGGCCGAATATTTACGTTCAGTGTAAGAGCGGCTTCAGCTCACAGCTGGGACTGCTTGATGAACAGCTGCTGTTACTGCCGGCCTGCCTGCCTGCCTGACTGCCTGCCTACTGCATGAGTCAGTGGCAACTCACCTGGCTGCCTCGCCGCGTCCCGGCCTGGCCTTGACTAGGCGGCAGCTGTTGCAGAGCGCCTTCCAAATGATCTGCACTTGTGCGGAAGTATGTGTGCTAGTGTGTGTGTGCCAGTGTGTGTGGTAAGGTGTGCGAGCGAGAGAGCGTGGCGCGTCGCTGAGGCAGCTGCATCTTTGTCGTTTTGCCCTGAATCGTCTGCCCGGTTGATGGCGGTCATTGAGACAACGACACCTGTATAAACATTTTAACAGCTTGAGTTTTGCTCCACTTACCCTGAGACTGGGTAAAGTAACTGTTGCATAAGGCTTGATTATTGACAGAATATGACAAAAAATGTATCTGATTCGAAATGATTCCTATACATAATCCGATTGAAACCAAATTCGAATGTTGAATCGAATAATGTCCCGAGATAAGCCTCAAGTTTATATAAGAATTTATATAAAATCAAATCCTTAATATATCTGTATGCATATCTGACTTGGATAAAAATGATTATATTATAATTAATAATAATTATATATAAATAAATTACATCGTTCCAAGTAACAAGATGTTAGTAGCTGAGAAGAATTGGGCTAGTTCCTTTTCCCTTCTCAGAATTAGTTGACTTAATACGAAGTTAGAGTATTTGCTGACCGACTCAGCATAGACTGCTAATTATTTGTTCAGCTTGCAGATCTATAAACAATATATACAGTAGGGCTGTGTAACAAAAGTATGCTAATAAATTAAGCTCCGATGAAATGCTTACAATGAGCCCTGGCTGGCGGGGCTGCGTCAATTAGCGGACGTGATGAGGTTTGTTGTGCCAGCAGAGCCTCTCGAGTAGAGGTCCTAATCAAGGCTAGGAGCTTTAGCTGTGCAATTTTCATATTGAATTACGCAGTTGATGGGCAGTTCGTTAGTTGGCTGGACTGGCAAATTGGCCTATTGACGAGCTGATTAGAGCCCAAAGACAAGCGCAGTGAGTGCACTTTCCATTGACAGCGCACTGAAAAGGCCAAAGTGATTAAGGTAATAGGCCAGCCGAGTGAAATGCACCTGACAAGCACAGCTGTTACTGCTGCTGCCCTGGCTGCTGCTTTACCGTGGGCCGCACATGTGGCATGTGCGCTCCGCAACAACCAGACGGAAAACAAAACAAACTTCAAAAAATCCCTACCCAGCCATCCATCAAGCCCTCAATCAATCATTAGCACTGTAAACTGTATTCAGCCACCAAACCACCAAGCACCACCCTGCGCGCCAAAAAGGAAATAAAGTTGTCGGCGGCGTCGGTGGCGGCGGTGGCGGTGGTGGCGGCAACGGCAGCATTTTCACACCTTGGCAATTAGGCGACACGCCCCGGCTGGCGCCCATGTGGCTGCCTAGGCGACATTGACTAATGAGACGCCATTTTGTTTGCCGGCTAAGCAGCTGAGACTACACGACAAATGACAATGGCGACCGGAAATAAGTCAATTTACTTATTAGCACAGCAAAGGCAACAGCAACAGCAGCAATATCAGCAACATAATTTAATCTATATGTTTAAGTTGCCTAAAGCACAAGACCAAACAAAGCCACAGCACAACAGCTAACACCCACACAGCGAGTGTATGTGTTCTGCACATAGCATTCGCGTAATCGAAACAGTCAAAAACAAATATCTCGGCATAGAACCTTTTTGTATTTCTCGGCCTGAGTCTCGACCCGACTTCTAGCCACTTGCCTTTGCCTTTGCTTTGCGTTACCCAGGCCGCATAGAAAATGGAAATTGTATTGCTTAAACATGCGTGGAAATCACCTTATATGTTTAAAGGCAGACGGACATGACTGCAGTCGAGATCAGTCGATGATATTTGAATATATGGACAGACTCATAGACAGAAAGCAATCATGCAGACAGATATATATTTGTAATATGACAATCTAAATTATAAATTCTCATACCCAAGTAGTATTAACATTTTCTTATCGATAAGAATCGCCAATACCAGATGATCTATTCAGGTGTCTGTGATGAATACACAGATAAAACAATCTAAGATATCTGATCTATCCTACCAAAATTATAAAACAAGCTTACATCTTTAGATGGCATTACTACATTCTGAGTGTGTGTTGAGCTCTGTGTTGCAGCTCTGCGTATGTTGCAGGGTATATCCTAGTCAGGCACTCTCGACTAAATCAGACTTTTTTCATTTTTGTTCCTGCTTTGTTGTTGCAGCTTATTAAAAAGATGCCACAAAAATGCTTTTGGGCCTGAAATTACTTTGTGATAAGTAAAGGAACCACACGAAACCACTATTCTTATACTAGCAATCACCTAGAATGCAGAACTGTAGTGTTATATAAGCTGCACATTATAGGAGCTGTGTCTTATAGTGAGAGAGAGTCTAAGACATTTTTCTTTATTTTAATGGGAACTTTTCGTGGAACAAATAGTGAATGTATTGTCCAGATGGAGAGGGTAATTTATTTTCATTTTTTTCCAATCAAAAACGACCGTTTGTTTGGGCTACAATGTGGCTCGATTCAATTTATAGATCGCTTAATTTATTGGAACTTTTCATCTACTTATATATATATATGATTCAAATAAAGATATAACCATTCTGTACAAAACCAAATACAAATACTCTTAAATATCATATTAATATATTTATATTATATTATATTATATTATATTATATTATATTATATTATAAGGTCGAACGTATTATTCAAGCTGTTGCTTTAAATACAATAGAATAGAATGTCCTTACTGTTATCTATTTACTTGCAGCTGTTCGAAGCACTTGCTAATCGGAGCACGACGCAGAAGGCGCAAGAGAAGATGTTGCAGCTGTGGAATGCGTCATGTTGTCCATTTGCTGTCATTCTTTCAACAGATGCAAAGAGTGCCACACTAAGTGCACATTTCATTCATCTTCTTCATAATGTTGCTGCCAGTTTCAACATACTCTTCATTGAGCTGCCCCATTCCCCCAGCCGACCACGCCTCTCGACTAGCTGGCAACCCTTTAGCCTCGACGGTCGCCTCTTATGTTTTAAACATTCTCTAAATAGTAAGAGCAAAAAAAGCGGAAAATAAAACCTACAAAAGGAAAATGCCGGAACTAACGGCATGTCCAGCGCAGATACACCATCGTTGGCACTATACCCCTCTCTAACCAAACGCTTTGCCTTTGCCTTTGCCTTTGCCTTTTCCTCTGCTATTCGCTGGCAAGCGCCCAAATTGTCTGCTTGGTTTCGCTGCTGCTGCTGCTGCTGCTGCTGGTCGCTTTGGGCCAAAAACATTTGAATTGAATTTGCAGCAGCAACTGGCTCAATTTCCAGACACAGCGCTGACCTTGTCACACATACACA